GTGCAATGTATACGTTTACCTGGTTGAGTGAAAGTAGTCCAGTTTTTGCAGAAAGGTTGGCTACAGGGGGGGTTGTGGTTATGCTTCTGTTCTCATTATTGAATATATTAAAATAACACATTTACGATATTTTTTGCGTACAACAAACACGTTGAATACATTAGTATGTCTATATAAATGTGTTATCCAACTTACCTTACATGAGCTTGAATGGTGAGAGCAATCTGTTGAACATATTAGAAATGTTAATGTCAGAAAATTGAATGAACATATAGTGATATTACTGATGTAAAATTTGATCAGTTAATTTATTTTGGACTCAGCAATAAATGTTTGCAGGTATAGAGGCTGGCTGAACATACTCAGTAACATTACCATTGGTTATATATTTGCATATGTTAATGTGGATGGATCAATAAATAAATCTTTCTATGTCATGTTTTGGCCTCTCAGGGCTCAGGTAACTTTTCAATCTATGTTCAAATGAGTTCTGAGGCTGTCCAATCTAAGAAACTCTTATTTATAATGCAGACAGCACAGGAGGGTAACTTTTTAATGTCGGTTAATTATGTCCTTAATGCAATTTACTGCTATGCTTGGACACTCGTATTCATAAAAAAATCCTCTTTAAATTCACTGTAGATTATACTTGACCACAGATTATATTTAGAATGCAACAGTTGTTTTAGACACAGATGCCGTTTGCTAATATGCTCATGCTAATCGGCTCTTCAGCAAACTCACTCAAATAACACTTAATGCAACCTCTTTAACCACCAAAATTGCTGACAGGAGCACTCTAACTTTCTGCAAACAAAAACAAATTGAGCAATAAACAATTAGTGAAACTTACCTTGTAAATATCTCATCGGTCTGTGTTAGGAAATCATCGGTTGCTCTCATCTGCTCCACCCGCCAGGTTTGAATTAGAGAGCATGCGCACAGATTTACTGACTTTGTGGAGTAAGTTTTACTCGCGTCTGTCTTTTCTTGCATTAGTTCAATATATTACAAACACTTAAGTAAATATTACTTGAGTATATCCATTTAGATTTACTATTGTATTTTAGACACAATAAATTAAAAAGCAATATTAAGTAGCTTATTGAATTAAACGTGACAATTTGAAGTAAAAAGACAAAATATGATTTATTTGTAAAATGTACTTGGATTATGCTCTCTTTATTTACAAGCCCCAAAAATAGTTTTTTTCAGTGTAAGACACTGAAAAAATGCAATTAAGTATTTCAGAAAGTTGTTCAGCACATGTATGTAGCACCCTAAAATCAATATTATCTGGGCCCGGGCTTTTTTAGTATTAATTGTCTGAAAGAGGTCTTTGACCTGAGTCCTACTAATGTTTACGGATTTACTATATGACAGATGTTGTTTTAAAATGTCATTTTCTGACTTAAAATCACCCTCATCAAACCTTAAGTAAAATGTATTTAATTCCTCAGCAAACTCTCTCACAGAACTAAAACCATTTAAATTGGTTTCAATGCCCCCTCTATCTTCTTTACTCCCAGCCATTGTGTTCACACCTTACCATGCTGATCTTAAATATGTGCTGCTGGTCTGTTTCTGTATTTTCTGTTTCTCTATTTTATTATGTACACTGTTAAATCATACTATTCCAAACACACAACTGAGATGTTTTTGTGTTATCATATCATTGACATGACCACTTCAGAACTATCATCTTCAATAAACTGCATGAATCAGTTTGTCTTAAAGAAGACATTAATCTGTATTCACAGATTGTGAATTACCACACTAAATCAGCTGTACTCCTCATAAACGGTAACCTCACAGAAATATTTTGATCAGTAATGACAGGTTATTTGCTCAACACTTATTCTACACAATATACAGATTAAAATGCCGAATAAAGTAAACCAAAACATTAAAAAACGGCCGAGATATAAAGTATTAAACCTGACTGAAAGCACACTCAGCTGAGGACACACAGGATTGGTCTAAAAACACGAATACTAATGAGTCATTTGCATATGGTCTATTCTCTAATAAAACACGATTTTAAAGGGCTTCATAAGCTTAAATATGATAATCAAAGTATGGGAAAACAACCTAGACATCAGATAATCAAATTCTGAATAAAATATACAAACAAGAACAAAGAAAAACACAAACAAACAATTGGTCATCACCATTGCCGAAATGCTGCGTCTCAACACCTGGTCAATGGACCAGGGTCTCCTGTTCTTCAGGGTAATGCTCCCAACGGTTATCCCTGATAAGGATAATGTCTGCTTGGTTCTTGCATTGCCTTAGGGGAGACATCTGGTAGAAGAATGATATATCTGCTGAGCTATATCCGCCAGATTGAACCTCGACCTGGCCTCTTAAATTTTTTCATTTCTAGTAATTAGAAGGAGATCAGAAATATCTCTTTGAATGCTTCAAGTCACATTTGGGCGAGTTCTTTGATCATCTTGAATTCATGGTACTCCTTGGATGTTGACTGGAAGTATTCTGGAGCAAATCAGCAGGCAGTGAGGAGAAGGCAATGACCAGTTCATGGCCAACTTTAACTCCTGACTTCTAGCTGATTTGGGCAAGGGCTCTCCTGTTCCCTGGAGATATCTGGGGTCCTGGGGAGCCTGGTCTCTGGATTAGCCAGAGTAGGCCTCATAGAGAAACATCTTCAGACTCTTCTCGGGTGACCTGGGCAACCTTGCGGTGTTAACAAAGGTCACTCTGGGGAGTGGTAAGTATTCAGCCCCCCTGGGTCCACTTGGACAGCACGCAGGGATGGTGGCCTTGGGTGAATGGCCTTAAATGAAGCCCAGTCTTCTACTGGTGATTAGCACCTCCACACAACAGCACATTGTGCATCAACACCACCTACACCAGTCATTTGAAAACTTTTCCAAAAATCGTCAATTTTAACATCAGATCTACTGAGGATTTGTAACCCCAGAATTTACTAGGATTAAGGTTGAGTAAGACTAGTACTTCCATAGGGACACTTTAAAACACCAAATCTCAAATTATAACCTTACAACTTTTAAAATGACCAGATTTTCCCTTTCTTTAAGATCCATTATTTCCATGGGAAAATTTAAAATATTCCTTCTAAGACTTAACCCAGAACTTTTCAGGAAAATAAACCCTACATACCTTCCCCAGAACATCTAGTGTAAATGGCTGGTTTTAAAAATAAGATCTTCTGTAACTCTTAGAAAATCTAACCCCAGAACCTCTGTAAGTAACCACACTTCACTCTTTTAGAATATTCCAATTTCGTAGGAATATTGGAACCTATAAATATTTCAACTTTACTGGTTCCAGTTTCCTCTTTAAAAATCTCAAATTTAAGTGGAAACATCTCAAGTATCAAGATTTCCTTTTGGTAGTGAGAATCCTTTCAAAAACAAAAGCCCTCACTTTAAGGCTCTCACTTAAACATTGAAAATCACAGTTTGGTTCTATTGTGAATTATTTTCTCTCCACATAGCGTGATTGTAGACGTTCACAACTACATAGCATAGAAAAAAAATAGCATAGACCAGTGGTTCTCAAACTTTTTTTTTTTTTTTTTTTTTTTTTTTTTAACCAACTACCACCTTAGAAAATTGTCTCTCCAAGTACCACCATAATGGCCAGTATTAAAAAATAACATTGTAGGCCTAATTAAGCTGTGCACAGTTTAAAAATGAAGCAGATTAATTCCTATCATTAAGAATGTGTTATTGTCAGTCACTTATACATTTTAAATAGTCTGAACATTAACTGTGCTTGCAGATAAAAAAAAAACAATAAATTGAAATGTGCTCTTAAAGTTCATTAAAAAAATGTCACTGTTCTAAAAGTAAATAGAAAACTGCTGTACTTAAATCTAAAGTATTCATATTAGCCTATTAATCAAAAGCTGGAAATGTGGATTGGACCTCATAAATATTGGCTTTGTCATTCATACACTTTCTGACAAATCTTGATTTCTGACAAATATGTTAAATGTACTTATGACAGGGTTCATAAAGGCACAGGCTAATTAAAATATGGGCATTTTGAGCACTTTTTTCCAGTACCTATTTTTTGGTAGACTGATATGCTATGTATTGAGGACCTGAAATGTATTCTCAGCAACCCATAAAACATTGCATTGATAAAAAAAAAAATCAATCATACATTAATAATATAATAAACCTGCACTAAATGCTTGTGAAATTTTTTTTACTCAAGTAAAAATACCATTACACTGCTAAAATAACACAAATTTTAGTAAATACTAATATTAAGTAAAAGTACAAAGTACTCTTTTAAAAAGTACTAGTTTGTTACTTTTGAAAAAAAAAATCAGATTCATTGAAATCAAGTTTAAACCTGATTAATTGGTTTAATTGCTTAAATCCCAAAGCTACATGTATAGGAATTGACACTAAGTATGGTGTTTTTTTAAGTTTATTTTTCCTTTCATGACAATGTTTTTCAATAGCACTGGTAAAACTAGCACAATCATTAAGGCAATAAAGACATTTTTTGCCCATTTTTTTAAAACC